GAACATCGAGGAGAACTCTACAAACGTAGAGCCTTAATAGACCAAGGATCACAACGTTCATGTATAGCGTCTAGAGCACAAAACAGGCTGCAACTGCCAACAAAACTAGCTAATTTTGACATCACGGGAATAAGTGGAAGAGTAGTCCAAAACTCAAACAAAATCTGTCCCATCACCCTAATTTCCCCCAACGTGGATAAGCCCATTCAGCAGAAGCTATTGTCTTACCGCAACTAATAAATATGCTTCCAAGCTATCACATATATAGGAAGCATTGCAAAAGGTTTCACACCTGAAGCTAGCAGACCACAATACCCCCGCTCAAATAGATATAATAGTAGGCAGCGACCTTATACCGCAAATAATGCTTGAAGATGTTGAAAAATTTATATATAATTCAACCAAATCATCCAGATATATTATTAAATATTCAAAAAGAAAATTTTTTGTACTCTAATTTCCTTAAACTCGAAAATGGCAGTACAACAAAAATACAGGGGATCCAATGGAATGCGATATCTGAACAATTTTCATATCTCACTGGACCAATATCCGCATTATCCGCAATAACAATTTTGACCCGGCAGGATGGCTTTCGCCAATTATGGTACAAGCGAAAATCCTAATTCTTCTCCACTTAGAAAAATTGTCACAATCCTCAAACAATCTTAACGAAATCCGAATCTACGGATTCTCGTCAAAAAATCGACACCTCTCATACTATAGGGCCTCATAGTTGCCTAAATTTTCATAATCAAATACAATTCAAAATTAAAGTTAAGGGATCCCCATAACACCCAGACTTAAAAAAAGCAAAACTCGCACTCATCGCATCTATCAAAGCGCTCATCATATGTATAGGTTATGCGAAACTTTTGAGAAAGTTGCAAATCTCACTTCAAAAAAGTGAGCGAAAATAACAAATCTCACTCTCGCAAGATCCCTCTTCAAAAGTTTTCAAAGGAGCACCCATTCTGGCCGTATCTGAGGCAGGCGTGGAGTCGCTAACCGTAATAAACCGATGGTAAAGAAATTTTAAACAAACAATACAAATAATAAAATTATAAAAGAAACAACCACTAATACAATAAGTACGAAAAGCAAATACAACCGCAAAATAAAGTTACATATCTTTTGCACGCAAAATGCATACCAAAATGCATACATAGCTACTCAACCAGCAGCACGCCGAAATACATGCTATATAAGCATAAACGTGAAAGACTAGGCAAAATATTCGCCTAGGGGGCCCAGGATGTTTAAATGAGATAAGCCACCCCTACATATACACACCACTCTACTCGGGTAAAACTGGCACACCCTAATGAAATACCTCACACTGCACTCAACATTGAGAACACTACACATGATGACACCACCACACTCAATCCCTGAGTACATCATGCACGAAGAAACCTAACAAAAAGGACGGGAATATCGCTAAATCATCATGTGGTTGTGGCTTTGTAAAAGTCTTCACAATACTGATCTTCAGGGGTTGTGATTGATATGGGGGGGAGTTCTTCTAACTTCCAAAATTTCTTTAATGGTGAATTGGGGTATTCATTGAGCTTTCCTCAACTAGAGTTGTCATGGTGTTTACTGGTTCCGTAATTATTCTAATTACCAACCAAAAATAGTATTTTGTGCCAGAAGTGTGTTTGAAAACTTCTCAATACCATCGTGTATTATCTGTGGTATTAGATCGCTGCCTAACAGAAAATCTATTTGAGCGGAGGTGATGCAGTTGGGATCTAATAGCTTTAGGTGTGAAACCTTTGGCAATGCCTCCTATTTATGTGAAAGCTTGGAAGCATATTTATTAGTTGCGGTAAGACAATAGCTTCTGCTGAATGGGCTTATCCTTGTTGGGGGAAATTAGGGTGATGGGGCAGGTTTTGTTTGAGTTTTGGACTACTCTTCCACTTATTCCCGTGATGTCAAAATTAGCTAGTTTTGTTGGCAGTTGCAGCCTGTTTTGTGCTCTAGACGCTATACATGGACGTTGTGATCCTTGGTCTATTAAGACCCTAAGTTCAAACAGTTCTCCTTGGAGCAGCATGGTGCCTTTTGGCAATTTTCGGGATTTGATGTTGCAACTAAACCCGTGGCTCTTTTCAAATTTGCGCTGCTTAGGGGTGACCTGGAAAATATGTTGAAATTAAGAATTAAATGATGGCGTGTATGACAATACACGTAATTAAATTTGCTTGCGCACTTTTTAAGTGTATGCGCATATGAAGTATTTTTGTTTTTACAAAATCGTTTTGGCCGATAATATTAAATTTTTTGAATATATTGCAAAATTTGAGCTTATGCCCTCTTGTACGCAGTTCGCATGACGTTTGTTTATACTGTTCGGATGTGAACGATTGATTTTTAAAAAAGCTTCTATTTAAATTGTTCTTGCTACTGGTCTGGGGTCTATTGAAGCTTCGATTTAGGTCGTGTTGAACACTTTTCATTTTAACTATTGTTTGGTCTACCCTTTCTGCGATTTTGTACAGGAAATCTTTCATTTCTTGCCCCGGAGAGCTTTCCAAGGCAAACTGAAATTATCGTCATTTAGTGCGAACTGTTTTACTATTACGCCTGCTTGACCTTTTGTTTTGTATTGGAGGTGATACAATTTTTGTGCATTCGATAATTTTGGATGGTTTATGTTAACGGCTGTATACATACGTCGGAAGGACGGGGTTCATAACCACCATGAAAAATTTATATGTCACATGCAGGTACCTGAAAATGGATGCCTGAACTTGCCTCTTAACAGCAATGAGGCCCATTTCTGGCTCAATGGGTATGTAATCAAGCAAAATTGCGGCATTTGTGACAAAGATCAACCTGAAGAGATTCAAGAGCTGCCATATTATCCAGAAAAAACAACCGTTGGGTGTAGTTTGTGTGGTTGTGTGGCCGGTGGAATCATCGGTCCATATTTATTTTAAAATGACGCCGATGAGAACGTAACCGTCAATTGCGACTGTTATCGCGACATGATAACCGACTAGTTGATGCCTGAAATTGAAGCTCGTGATTTGAACAAGACGGCTCCACTTCCCACATATTGCATCAATCAATGTAGAGGACACAATTGAGAGAACACTTCGGTGAGTAAATAATTTCACGTTTTGGGCCGGTCGATTGGCCACCAGGGTCGTGTGATATCACATTGCTAGAATTTTTCGTGTGGATATATGTAAAGTTTAAAATCTAAATCGATTCAGGCCTTCTAGGAGCAAAATATCACGCGAATTATATATTTAGTAATAACCACTCAAGACCCGAAACACAACTCGTTTTTTTTGGCTCTCAAATCAGACTGGCTTCAAACCAGATCGGCAACTCGAGCTTGCTGCTATGTCCGGCTGTACCGCACATTTCAACAAGCTCAAAATATGCTGAGTCTGTTGTTTGAGTCACGTATTGGCGGATCATGCGATGTAGTGCAGTGCATGCCGTCATTATACATAACTCCCCCAGAGCCACTCTGAGAAGTCTCCTGACTTCTTTTATTTATAATTTTATAAATTATTATTATTTTTAATATTTTTTTTTAAAAATGAGAATAACAATAGTTACACTTATTAATGTAATTATAATTACGGTGGCGCTAATGCCATAAGTTATGTTCTTATGACATTCTAACTCTTCTATTTCTCTAATGTTTTTAAAATTATTTAGTATTATAGTATCAAAATTTATTTTTGTTTCATAAGTTTGATTCAAGATCTTCACAGGATGTACAAGTTTCTCAATAAATTTTGTTTTGTTGTTATTAAAACTTTCTTGATTAATCTTTATTTTACAATTTGCGTAATTTATAATATAATTATTTTGAAAAGTGAAGTTTCTTTCATCACAAGTCTGAATGAGACTTTCATTATGTGCATTCTTTATTATTAAAGCGTCTTCACTTATTTCTTGAATTAGTGTTATATTGTTATACAATTCACAATCATCAGAAAAGATACAATTCCTGCTTGGTTTTAATTTTTTAAATACAGTATTTTCCTTATACACATAGTGTTCTTTAATTATTATTACAATTAATTCATCTTCTTGATTTATTTGCAAGTTTTGTTTATTAGGTAATGGCGTAATAAATTTTACATTTTCTTTAAAAAAACTTCTTGGGAGTTGTATAGCGAATATTAATGCTTCCTCTTTGTATGCCACTACTCCTATTTTGGCTAATTTCAATTTATTGAAATCAATATCGAACCCATCTATTTCTTCTTTTGTTAACATTCCGGGATGTATCAAATTGTTTTTAGCCGCAGCTATATTATCCTGAATTTCGTGAATTTTCCTTTCAGTATCTGATTTAATTCTTTTAAGATTTTAAACCTGTCCTTTTCTATAATTGTTTTCATTAGATTAATTGAGTCATTAAAATGCTCATTTATAAAGATCTGTTTATTTATATTTCCTATTGCGTTGTGAGTATTCCCCTTTATTATTTCTAAATGCCTAATTATATCCGGTCGGTCTTCTGTTAGTTTAAGCTTTGGTCTTATCGGTTTCCTATCATACTTAACTCTTTGGCACTTTTCACAGTTATTTATTATTAACTGTATGTGCTCTTTGAATTTGGGATAGTATATTTTAAGTCCTTAAGTGTATTGTAAGTTCCACTATGCATTGACTTATTACTATGGTAAAGTGAGATTTGCTTCTGTAAATCTTCTTCTTTTTCTATTTCTGTTGCCCTGTTTGTACATTTGACAAATTTAACATTATTATCATGTGAAAACATCGAAATCATTAATATCTGAATTTTATGATAATCAGATTCAGTGACTTCTGAGAATATGCCGACACATCCTTTTACTTTAATATGCCGACTTAACACCTCTTTTATTATGTACTCTTCCTCCATTGGGTTGATCTCTATCATCTTTTTCCCATGAAGCCTCTGCATTTAAAATTTTGGACTGTACGTTAATATGATTTGAACTTTATGTTTATTCACTATTTCTTCCTTGATTACAAAGTGTTCTAGCAGTTCTTCTTCCGCAGAATGTACTTCGACATTTCTAAATTTGATTCATCGCGGTTCCCATCTGTTATTTGAGGCGAATTTTCAATTCGACTTAGGAAGTCCGCTACTACGTTGTCTTTACCCTTTACATACTCCATTTCGTAATTGCACTCCTGGAGTTTTAGAAGCGACCTTTGATGTCGTGGTGCAAATTCTTTCCCTTTATACTTGTTATTTGGATACTTAATCGGGCAGTGATCAGTTACTATCTTAAATTTTGCTCCGTATATGTATGGTCTAAAATAAGTCACTGCATACATGATTGCATGGAATTCTTTGTCTGTCGTCGCATATTTCTGCTCATGATTGGGTAATGTTCCTTAGATGAAGCATATTGGTTGGCCTTGCTGTGAAAGAACAGCTCCAATAGCGTAATCGCTTGCATCCCTAGTAATTGTAAATTTTTTGTCATATTCAGGAAATTTTAAAATTGGATGTGATGAGATAAGTTTTTAAATCTTCAAAGCTGGCTATATATTGAGGATCTCTCGGATTTATTGTGTTATCTTTCTTTAAATATTCTATCATTGAGGAAGCTATTCTAGAGTAATCTTTAATAAACTTTCTATAATAGCCTGTGGTCCCTAAAAACCCTTTTAATTGCCTTTCTGTTTGAATTGGTAAATTTAAAATGGCTAAAATTTTTTCTGGGTTGGGCTTAATACCGTGTTTTGTCAAAACGTGGCTCAAAAATTCGGTTTCTCTTTTTAAAAAACAACACTTATTTACTTGGATTTTTAGGTTATTTTCCTAAAACTTTGAAATTTTTATTTATTTTATTAATATGTTCCCTTAGGATGTCGTTCATTAGTCTCTGAAAAGTGGCTGGAGCCTTTTTAAGCCCAAACGGCATCCTGACGCATTCATACAGGCCTGCTAGAGTCACAAAAGCTGTTTTCTCTATATCCTTCTCTGCCATTAGGGACTGATGGTAACCTTTAGCTAGATCTATGGTGCTAAAGTACTGTGCTTTGCCCAATTTATCTAAAATTCCATCAATATTCGGCAGGGGATATTTATCGTCAACAGTAATTGACGAAATTTTTTTATACCGGAACTATCTGATTTCCTTGGCACAATTATTATTGGTGAGCTGTATTTGCTTCGACTTTTTCTTATTATTCCTTGCTTTTCCATTTCTTCAATTGGCCTTTCCGCCTCGTCCCCAAATTTTTGGGGGGCAATCTGTGAATTCGGGAATTAATTTGCTGATCCGTTGTTGTTCTAATTTCATGAACAACGGTATTCGTGTTTGTCAGATCATCTCCTTCTTTATAAATTAGCTGTTCGTACTTTTTTAATATTTCACTTATTTTTATCTTTTCTTCTGAGTTTAAATGGTCGAGTTGAATGTTACTAACTTCACTTTTTTTCAACGAGTAAACTTGCTCCTGCATAATTTTCGTATGGAATTGAAGCTTGACACCATTTCTCAATCCCATTTCTTTGTTTTCAATGTTTATCGTTTTCACATTTGTAAATATAAAATCATTCCCCAGTATAAGATCGTATGGCTTGTTATAATCCATTTTTAACCATCGCATTTTTGCATTTTGAGGGTATCTAAATTCTAATGGACATGGTGTCTTAACCCTTCGTTCATCGCCCTTATTTCTCCATTCAGTGTACTGATTATTGTTTTATTTTTTTCTAAAACTGGTAAATTTTACTTTTCGAAACTCGCTCTTTTCATTATGCTTATGGTAGAGCCTGGGTCTACTAATGCACACCATTTATTATTAAATAGAGTGATTGAAATTAAAATTTTATTTTGATTTTCCGATTGGTAAAAAATTCCTCGTTGTTATTTTATTCCTTTGCTCTGCTTGGACGTTATGAACCGCCATGGGTGTTGGTCAATTTGAGCGTCTTGATTGCCGCGTGCCATTCTGTACAGGTTGCCTTGCAGAATTGCCGTAACCGTTATTACTACGATATTGACTATTTTGACCTGAATTTCCAGAATAAGTTTGTCTGTGGGGACTATTTGGGTGATAAATATTTTGCCTTGAAAAGTTTGTATTTCTTTGGGTGTATCGTCCGGAATTATTTTGTGAATAATAATAATTATTATTACGGGGATATTGTCCTGAATTACTTTGGAAACAATCAATATTTTGCTCACTACCATTTTGTCTCCTATCGTTGTTTGTTCTTTGATTATTCTGGTTTCTGTTACTGTTAAAATTTGTAGTATTTTGAGAAAATGAGTCCAAAAATCTATTTTGTGTTACAAACATAGGGTTTAAGTTTCCATCGTCCTGCCCTATGAAATTGTGGATTGTATTTGTCATGTGTGTCCATGTCGTTATATTTCGCACTATATAGGCGGACGTCCCTGCTGTTAGTTGCTTTATCTTTTGTATAAGCACTCCTGTAAATATTTCTTTCATTATGTTTCCTGACTCACTTAATGCACAATATTCCGTAATATTATCAATTATTTCCTTAGCTTTTCTACTAAGTTCATTGATACTTCCCACCCTAAGTTTGGTGATGTCGTTGGTCAAAGTCATCTGGTCTTTTGTTGGCCTGAAGTGCTGTTTTAATTTTATTTTGCGCATTTCCCAATTTTCGGGTGGACTTAATGTCAAAAAATTTTATGCTGTACCTAATATTTTTAAATTATAAACTATTCTGAAAACTAGCTGTTGTTGTTCCACGTAATCATTTAATATCCTATCAATTGCCCCAATAAACGCCGGTAATTTTCTTGCATTACCTTCGAATGGCTGCAAGTATTTTAAATCTTTTTCAATTTTCTGCCTAAATGTTGTATTTTGTTGTTGGGCGTTTAGTTGCAACAATTGGGTAATTGCGGCTAGAGGTTGCAAATTATTTTAGTAATATTATTTAATATAAATTAATATAACCTTATAAAGGTATGCTTCGAATCTATAACATTCACTTGCCGCTTTTACTATTTTTAATGCTCTCCACGTACAACTGCTGTTGTTATTTTTTGTATTGCCCTTACTGCTACTGTTGCTTGCTGCTACTGCTGTTTATTATAAGACTCTTCTCTTTTAGTTATTTCAACTGGCGTATGATTTTTAGTAGGAAAGTCTCAGGAATCACACTGGGTTGTTTGTTTTTTTGTTATATATATACACATGTATATATCACTTTTTAAACGATTGTTTTCAGTTCTTTAATTTTTCCAAAAATAAATTGACGTTTTGAAAAAGTTCTACTCTCTAAAGTTGTTTTTCTTTCTGAGTCTGCTGTTTGAGTCACGTATTGGCGGATCATGCGATGTAGTGCAGTGCATGCCGTCGTTATACATAACTCGTGTGTCATTCGCCAGTTACAAGTCGAAATGCTGTAACGAGTCATCGAAAATTGGACTTAACGGATGGACCATTTGAGACGTAGCCGCAGCCAATATCTGAAAGAGGTAATATTAAAAAAATAAATGCGAAATAATGTTCTTTTGAGTGATAATGAACATTCCGCATTCGATTTGAATTTTATGTGTTTTTTTTAATTAGGGAACCTCAAAATGGATCACCTTTTATTACCGTGTCCGGCCGAACACTATATTCGACATACTATTTGAAATCATTGCCCAATAAAGAAATATTAATTATTTTTCATAAAGGATTTAAAAAGTGACAACCTATGCTGTGACAATAGAAAATATGAGTTTAAATGGCTCCCAAGATAATATTTTAAGGAACTATATAGGTAGAATATGTAACCTCTACATTGGCGACATAATAGCTTTCGAATAAAATGAACAAAGTCACTTCGTGAATATCTAACAAATAATGTGCACTCTCGCTGTGATATGAAAGTGCAACTTGAAACCGAAACGAAGAGTTCTAGGCTTCATTATTTAACCTAATAGTATTGTTTAAATGAGCAAAGCCTCCCCATACATAAAGACTCCACTCCATTTGGGAAAAAACTGGCTTACCGTATTACTACACACCATACCTAAGAATACCACCATAATACCAGAGAGGATACAAAAGCGCCTTACACCTTCGATTCCAGACAAATATCGATCCTGGTTTCACTTGACACAGCTCCGTCTGTGTACTGTTAATCGGGATCCGAATATAAATTCATTTGTTCTGGAATATTATTGTCCAAAATCATAATAATTATATTCGAATTTAAGCCAAATTTTACATTCACCTTACGCGCATTTTAAAAAATAATAGTGCAAGTTATTAGTGCTACACTAAACTTTAAGGTACCGTTTTATCTACTAGCTACTTCCTTTTTCCTATTTTTCAGCTACTTCCTTTCAAAAGGGATTACACTAAATACGCGTAGCTCCTTTATTTGCTCTTAAGAGTTGAAGGCGGACGCTTTTCAAAAACGCATCCAATAAAAAGCAGATAACTTTTGCTATCGTAATATAATACCAGAACCTTCCAATTTGGCGTTCCAAAATTAAGAGTTATCGACAATGAAACAAATCTCAATTCAATGCCAAACAAATATTCAAAACTTCTCTAAATTTAACCTTTCCATTAGACACTGATATAATTAAAACTTTGACTAAAAACAAAATACATTTCACAGATTGGCCGATATTTTCAGCAAAAGGTCAGCCATAGGCTCTGGAGTCAACATTTCCAATATCTGTCAATCGATCAATTTGTGCAAAGTCTTATCCGGATATACTGATTAGTTCTTGATTTGTATACTGGAAAGTGAAAGAATCAGATGGAATTTAAGTTGTGTTATATGGAAAGAAGGCGTGGTTTTTGTCTGATCTCGGCGTTGAGAGATCAGCAACTTGTTCGCATCCCTTTTTGAGAGCGTCTACATTAAAGCTTCTCACCACTACCTACTATTGGATATAAATGTATCTACGTCTAATCATATCATCAAGGAACTCGAGGTTGGTACTAACAACGTTCATAAAGCACTGGTATCCCTAAACACGAAGAAAGGCGCTGGTCCTGATGGTCTGTCAAATATCTTCCTAAAACACTGTGCTACAAGTCTTAGCGAGCACATTATTCACATCTACAGCATCTCACTTCGTGATGGAATATTCCAAACAGACTGGAAACTATCTTACGTCTTCCTATTCACAAAGACGGTCCAGGGTCAGACGTCGCCAACTACAGACCAATCTGTATTCAAACAGCTTTTGCCAATCTCTTGGAGAAGATGATTCTCCACCAGCTCCCTGCTCTTTTTACAAACATCATTTCCAGCAAGCAACATGGCTTTATCGATGGAAGGTCTACAAGATCTAACCTGTTCATCTATGTTAACTACCTTCTGGAACTTAAAACAATGGACATGCAATCTATACCATCTACACGGATTTCAGTAAAGCTTTTAATAAAGTATCCCATAATATTCTACTGTAACTACGGTATACAAGGTAGAGCATTGAGCTGGATCCTTTCACATTTAACCGGATGGCCACTACAAGTTAAAGTCGATAGTCATGTATCCATAAAATATGAGGTGTCATCCGGAGTATTTCAAGGGTCACACCTGGTACCTATTCTTTTCAATATTTTCGTGAACAACATCATTGCAAATTTCAAGTAAAAGTTAAAATGCTAATGTTTGACTTTCTTGATTGGGATATATTTATTTATATACTTATATAAAAATAACAAAAATAAGTGGTTCTTTTTAAAGAAACGTTTTTATCAGGATGTCGATGTTTTATGATTGCTGAATGCTGACTTCTGGATGGTCATCGATTTGCCACAGGGTGGTTATTCATTTCCACAAGTCTCAATATCTTCTTTATGCGGATGACCTGAATATTCTCCACGTGATAACAGGCGTATTAGCTAACTACACCTTGAATAATGAAGTGATAAATGAGGTTGAGTCGGTAAAGGACTTAGGAATCATCATAGACAATAAACTTTCTTTCAACGAGAATATCGAAAGGATCACACTCCAGGCTTTTAACGGACTAGGTTTTATAATTAGAACCAGCAGAGACTTTTCAGATCCAAACTCCTTGCTGCGCCTTTACTCATCACTAGTTCTTCCTATCTTAGAGTACGGCCCAGTAATCTGGTCTCCATTCATGGACATGGCGACCAAGCGTATCGAAAAGATACAACACAAGCTCTGTAAAAGCCTGGGTTACCGATACAGATTTACTGGCCCTCATGCCTCAGTGGAGTATGTCTACGACCAGTATATTATAACCAGAATGCAATCACGTCGACAAATAGTTGATCTAATATTCTTTTTAAAGTCATCAATGGCCAAATTGGCGCGCCAGACATCTGTAGCTGCTTTGCGTTTTCTCCAGTGGGAGAAAACCACAAAAACTACAAAAAACTATGTGTCCAATGGCCTACACGATCGAATTTCCAGGCTAGTCAACACTTTATACAACAAAGTGGATTTTTACAGTGGATCAATCAACGCATTCGCCCAAGAAATTAAGTCGCACTTACTGCAATTCCCTTAACCCAAAGACACTTAACTAGTTAATCTTCCCTTCCCCCGCTTTTCTATAATCTATATTACAAATACTTAGTGGTATAATGCCGATAGGCGACTGTATAATTTAAATAAATAAATATTACACTTCGAATATGATTGAAATCGGTCGAATAAGTTCCGAGATATGGATTTTCTTCGTCTTCTATAAAGCTCTCTCGTACCGTCTCGGGTGTAACATTTTATGTCTCTGAAGAATTTAGATATTGTTTTATCACGCTTTTAGTAGTTTTTAACAAAACCGTTATGGAGAGAGCGGGGTTATAATTCGATTTCTTCCATTTTCACACTGTCGAATAAGAAGGCGGGGCCATGCCCACTTTTAAAATTTTTGTTGCCCCGTGCTACTGCGATCCTCTGTAAAAAATTTAATTTGAATCTAAATTTAGTGCTTACTTATGGAATTTTATATGTTTTCGATTAATGACGTTTTGTGGGCGTAGCGGTGGTCCGACTATGCATCCATCTACGAACTCGTCTTTACATTTTTGCCAAGAAACACGTGTACTCAGTTTTTATTCAAGTTACAGCTTGAACGGACAGACGGACGGACATACTCTCACCCCGATTTTCAGCTCACGACTTTAAAACGTACGACATAACAATGTTTTTTTTCAATATATATGTTTTATAAATCTCTAACAGCAGTGAGGACAGTCTTTGGTCAAAATATGGTATAAGAGGTGGAACCTTATTAGTGTAGTAGTAAATTGGTTATCTCCGTCTTGTAGGGATGGTTACTTGTTTATAGATCAATATTCTCGCTTTCATATCGTGCCTTTAGAGCTTCCCAAGCATAATTGAAATTGTCCTTATAATGTGCAAACTGTTTGACAATAACCCCTGTTTCACCTTTAAATCTGTATATCTCATAGTATTTTAGTTTTGTTCACCTATCGGTTGTTTGTAACATCTTCAACTTATCGATGTAGATATAAAGTACTCTAAATATATGTAAATGATAAGGATGACGATTGATTGTCCGTACTTGAGGCATCTTAATGAAACTTGATACTCCTGTTCCTCCGCATCCAAGGCAGGTTGTTATTGCCATTAATCGAAAACTTATACAATGCTATATATAAGCTGTAAATTAAGATATGAATCTTACATATTCATGTAATAGCAGTAGAGAGTGGAAACTGTACTTTAAAAGTGTTCAATAAGTGGGACATCAGATGATAACCGATCTCACTCCCCATATTATGGTTATGTGGAAAACTACTAAATGTGCGATAAATCACTGAATAAATACGTCATACGCATAAAATTTCATAGCCAGAGTTGAGTTTAAAACCTTTATATAGGCAGGTGTCAAAATAGGACAACAGTGGGCGTATCACCACTCAAATTTGACATTCCTATTGTTATATATTCTAAAAAATCGAACTATAACCATACCACATAGCTGCCATACAATCTGAACGATAGAAATCAAGTGCTTGCATGGAAAACTTTTTAATTCGATGAGATATCTTCACGAATATTGGAACGGATCATGATCTAAGGCAATAATGAAATCTCTTAAGAAATTGTTCAGATCGAATCACTTTAGCTTATTGCTGTCATACAAGCTGAACGATCGGAATCAAGTTCTATCAAGGAAACTTTTGTACTTTGAAGGGCTTCGGTCCAACCGAAGTTAACGTTGTTTCTTGTTTTTTTTTTGTTTCTTTAGTGTTACTTTTTTCACTGTCCCTTTATTTTGTTTTGGCTTTTTTTGCATTTTGCATTTTGTTACTACTTATATGTCACTGCACCGCACAAAAAGTATTTGTTCTTTTTTTTTGTTAATTTAATATTAAGCCTCCATAGTACCTATCACTATTGCGAGAAGGACTGTGATTACTCTTTTCACCATTTACCGTTTAAAAAATAAGGAAACACAAATGAGTCCTTTACGACAATTTATTTAATAATTTAAATGTGGTTATGGTGTGTGATGTCTGTATGGGTGGTGTATGTTTGCGTGTGGTGTCTTTATGAGTGGATTGTGTTGATGCAGTGTGGCGCTCAGTGTCGTGCATTGAGGGGAGGCGAACTCATCTAGCCACATACGTATATCCATGAACATAAAATATTAAAAATAAGCTAAATATAACAGAAGAGCCGAAATTAGGTTGGAGATCTTCTATCGTTCCTTAGTATCGCCCTAAAAAATACCAAGAACAAGAATTGTTTTTAGAGGCACAAGAAACGTTTAGGGAGAAAACTACTACCGATGCCGCTAAAGTTAAAAATAATAAAGCTGAGATTTTAAACAAAGAAAAGAATTTGGATGGTCCTGAAGAAAATGCAAATAAAGTGACTAATGAACAAATAACTTGTAATTTTACTTCCCTGGCGTCTTCTTTTTCCAAAATGTGGGAAATCTGGTGCTAAAGTTGATAAAGACGAAGCTGAAGTAATCGATCGAGAAAAAGGAAGTTCAAAAACTGGTTTTGCTTAAACCAATACAATTGTCGAAAAAGAGAAAAAATGGTTTTGTTAAGCAAAATCCAAAAATCACTGTAAAAGAAGAAGAAGATGATATGGATGACGGCGAGCAGAAAACAAGTATGGCACGTGAAGCTACTTAAATGGAAAATCATGTTGATGAAAACCAATGTCACGTCGGTACCAGCAAGAAAGACCTAATCAGCACTTCCAAAGTTATGAATTGATCACAGTTTGAATATATTGAGCGTAAATTGAATAATTCCTTATATAAATTGACAGAAATATTGACCGGAAAATAATTGTATTATTGTAAGAAAAATGTGATGTACTCGATATACGAAAAATAAGGCACAAACGCTTTTCTCAAAATAATAACAATCCCACGCTTTTCTCAAAATAATACAAGCATTTCTGTCAGTTTATATAAAGCACTATTTTTCACTTTTCAGTTTGAAGTGCTTTAAAAGCGTGTTTTTCAGTAGTACATTTTTTTCGTAAATTTGTTATTCGAATCACAGTATGAATAGTTAATGCCTTTGGCTGCATAGTTTTATAGTCGTTGTACGATTTCGCTAATTTTCACAGTGTGTTATAGGAATGGCCTCACATACCAAGTTTGGTTGAAATTAGTAAAGGTTGGTAGTGCTACGTCCATTTTCAGATTTTACACCTCCTTCTATAAAGGTCTTTCCTACCATCTTGTTTGTGAAATTTAATGCTTACGGCGTATTTATTTGGTGAGTTAGCGCACTTTTAGTAGTTCTCAACATAACCGTTATATGGTGAATGAGCGTAGTTATTATTTGATTTTACCCAATTCCACAGCTTTTGAAAAAGTGCTAAAAAACTTCTAGAAAATTTTGTTAAGTTAGCTTCAGCAGTTTGAAAATATGTGCATTTAACCATTTTGGGGGCGGGGCTATGTTCACTTTTATAAAAAATGGGTGCCCCTTATTACCGCGATCCTCAAATTACAAATTACAATTCGGTATCTTAATTTAGTGCTTGGTTATGGCACATTATACGTTTTCTTTTCTTGGCGTTTAGTGGCGTGAGAGTAGTCCGATTACTCCCATCTGCAATACCGACCTCTCTTGGGTGCAAAGGAACTTATGTAGCAAGTTTCATCAAGATACCTCAATTTATAATCAAGTTATCGCTTGCACAGAAAAAAGTTAATAACATATGTACAAACTGACCTATATTTATATATATCATAGATATAACACTAGGCTCTGATCCCCCTAAAGAAGAGCCAAATGACGATGTGAAATTAAAAGTCTCCAACGATGGTGGTATAACAGCAGAAGATGATGACACGGATGCTTCTGATATTGGTACCACAACCAAAAAGAAACATTCTCGACATGGTGCTATTAGTAGACGAAGTAGACGCAAATCAACGGCTGCAGCAACACCGGGCATAAAAGTCAAGGAGAAGAAATATCGTATAACAAGCAGAGAAGAAGTAAATTTACGAAACCTAAATTTAAGTATCAGACATATACTTCGGCAATATGTTCGAATATCTTTGCACATACTGCTCTTAAATAATGCCGAGATAACAACATACATACATAAACAAACATATGTATTGGCATTCAATATTTAACAATATATACATATTTACTAGGTTGACAAACATGCATGAAAAATATTATCATATATTGGTTTTAAAAATAATATTTAGAAAATAATTGATATTGTACACAATTTTCGTACGAACACACACACGAACATCATTGAGTTGTACAATCAAAAACAACCCCATGTCGCGTGTCAGTGTAATATACATATAAACAGATACTTTTTTTTAGTTAATTAAGATAGAATTAAAATTGTATATAAAAGCAAGTAAATCTAATATAAAATCAGCGTGAATAAACTCTACCTTAATTAAGTTCTTTATTTTTCGCTCACCAGTGTTAAGAACTTATACCATTTTCCCACAAAAAATTGAAAGTGATTAGATTACATCTAATATATTCATATATATATATATATATATATATATAAATGATCAAAATGAAGAGACGAGTTGAAATTAGGGTGACTGTCTGACCATCTGTCCGTCCGTCTTTGAAAGCTGTACCTTGAGTGAAAAATGGGATATCTTTATGAAACTTGGTACACATGTTTCTTGGTACTGTAATGTACGGTTGGTATTGCAGATGGGAGTAATCGGACCACGCCCACAAACGCCAATAAATAACAAATAACAATTAAATTGCCATAACTAAACTCCACAGTAAGATATAAGACTGATATTTGGTATACAGGATCACATTAGAAAGGGGCATCTGCAGTTACAATTTGTTTTTAAGAGTGAGACTGGTCCCGCTCCCTTATTGGTTTAAATTGCATATCTTCTAACCCAATAAAGCTATAACAACAAAATTACCTGAGAACAAATTGTTTCAGCACCTCTATCGACAGTTTGAAAATGGGTGAAATTGGGTGATAACCTGTCCGAGATTTCGAGTATATTAGCGTGAATATAACGAGATTAACAAGCGTCATTTTTGTATGGCGAAATATTGCTAAAGTAGTAGATTAGTGAAATAGTCTACTGAACAGCCTAAATCTCGTGATTAAGTGTCGGTGGGAATATAATATTTAAGTTACGTCTGGCATTTGACAGACACGGGTGAAATGTAGATGCCTTTTTGAACAATTACAGTGACAATCACTTGATCAGTAAACTGAATGTTACGACTAACCTAATAAATCTGAGTGCATTTTTGAACCCATCAGCAGTCCGTGTTAACACAGGGTTGTTATTGGCGGTAACCAATTCACACTTATCACATCACCTCACCACTTTTTTCACTAATCACTTCACTGCTATCATTCATTACCTAACTCACTACCTACAGTACATCAATGCACATTATAATAAATAAAAACACATCTTGTTAAAAAATTTACATTTTAAATATATTCCTCTTTATTTTTATTGTTGTTTAAGAGTACAAAATGGAAATCTCTCCAATTATTGTACGAGTATATTTAATTATTTCCTTGTGTTATTTAAATTATGATAAGCTGAGTCGTAGCAAGTGACACTTGTTATTGTTAATTAGCGGAACAGGCTGAAGTTCTCAGTCTCCCTTTCAAATTATAATTGAACTTATTGATAACTTAATTCTAGTTACACATGCTAAAATAGGGTTTCGTAATCATACATAGCGGCCACGCGAATATGCTGTGTTTGCCGGCTACGCAATAACATTCGCTCATTTGTTTATTACGGATGTCACATTTCTGGTCACCAATTTCGAGACTGCTGACTTATACATTACAATGTTTATTGAATGATTACAGCTGGTGTCATATTTCATGGCAACAATCTCGAAAACGTTGACTTTAGTTCAGTAGTATACGACATGCGATGTTATGCACAATGCCCTCATCTCAACTGTACAAAATGAATGTTTACAACGGTGACGAAGAGACCACAACAATTTGTGGGAGAATACAAATACCACAGTAAGAATAAATACATCACGAAAGCTGAAAAAGGCGCATGCTTAGGGTAATTCAAATTAAGCCAATCCATGATCTGTTTTTAAATTAAATCGTAAAAAGTGGTGAATTTCAATTCTTTGAGTTTCTATTTTTTCAAATTTTTAAACTAATTATTCAACTATATCTGTTGTCTTAACATCATACATATAATTATCTTTCTTAAAAAATGGAAACATTAAGAATTAATTTTGTATATATATATACTGTACTAATTAAAATAAGTGATTTAAATTACTACTAACTTTCTTAATTTCAGAAAAAAACATGTAATAAGGTTTGGCAACTGCACCGCGAATTTTATAATCAATGAGCAAGCCTGTATACTACAACAGAACCAGTTGGGTTCAATACTCTAATAAAAACTTTATTTTATGTTTGTTTAATCACTTACTTGCACTACATTTTAACGGGTACAAATAAAATGCAAATTCGAACAGTATCCTTTATTTCTTCACAATATTTATTAGATTTTATTTCACCAGCTTTACTTTAAGTTTTAGACGAAATTTCCATTGTACTTTGTTGTCTTCTGACGGAGCACGTGAAAACTGCTGGTTGTTTCGACAAAAATTGAAAAAATGCTTTTGCTTAATATGCTTGGGTTGTATGGGTTTGTATGGGGTGTTGTCTCATCATAGCTTAATTGCCTTGGTGTCTTTGTTAAGCGTGTATGTTGAGATGATGATGATGTCCACAGCGGTTCTAAAGTGACCGCGAGCGTGTTGCATGCTCTTATGGTTACGTCTGCACTTTCAGGTCTGCACCTGAAGGAGCTGGATTGCTTCGTCTAAGAAAGCAGTGAAACAGAGAAGGATGTTGTCTATACGAATACTGATACCACCCATCGTTGTTTAATTTTTGGTTTTTGGTTTTGTCGACTCTCTGATGCTAGAAAGGAAAAACAGTTTAACGAACGGTCAGGTTAGTATCGTTTTTGGCGCTCGCACATTTTCTATTCTTATGAGGCTGTCGGATTCAAGATAAACGTTTTAGATAGTCATCATCCAGTGGAAGGAATCCACTTCCACCGATATCGCTTGTATAGAATTTATGATGGGAAAGTTTGATTATTTCCTATCGGTTTTCCCTTATTGTAAGTGATCATAAAGCATCATTTTTTATGAGCGCCTAATCTTAAAAAATTTTGGGTCAGCGAAAATCCTCGTAGCTATATGCTCCTAACAGTTGCCGACTGGGCAATAGACGTCGCTGCTGGCACCATCGCAGCTTGGTAACTGGACTAGTTTCAAAAGGAGGCCTTGGTGGCGCGAGCAGGCGTCTAGCTAAGGCACGGATACGTATCCATTCTCCTCTTTCTTTGGTAACTTGCTTGGCACATAACACTAGGGAGGGGGTGTATATTACTTCTGCCATTCCTAATGAGGTACCTGGTGGTAGGTAGAAAATGCTAGGGGTAGAAGAAACGGGTTGGGATATCAAAAGGCGGTGGGAGAAATGGCTGCTTCCACCGACGGGCACGGTGGGTCTACTTTCTGTGTCGCCAGCAGCCATACCTCTGTTGTAAGGGAGCAGTTCACAGCGGTTGCAGCCGCAATTCACATCCACACATTTGCAAATGCGATCGAGGAAGAAATGCAGCTAAAGGCAGCGGTCTGCTGGAAAGCGGTAGAACTGAATGCACCCTTTGACATATTGACGAAGACGGAGGAAGTGGTTGCGAAGCTTCTCGGATTGTAAGAGGGCGCCGTTCTGGAAATAGTGGATGTAGCTGCATTCCAGCTATTCCGAAGGCGAAGGTTCTTATACATCGCACGGCGAAATCGGATTGTGATAGTAGGTAGCAAAGCTCCGACCTCGAGAAGAAATCCGAACATAGTGGTAAAGGTCTAAGGTAGTATGTATGTCCTTCCTCGAATAACTTACTTGATGTAACAATGTATACTAGCGAAATAATAAATGTCAAAGGTAGGAAGGTGGTTCGTACACCCTACTTTTCTGACCATAGATATGTGAAATTTCAAGTAGAAGTCGAGGGCACCTTCCCCCAAGCTGGAATATGGATCACGTAGCCGAAGTGTTAAGAAGCTATTCAAACTGGCAGGATGGCCGATGAAAAACATTCTGGAATCAATATTAAGATGTACTCAAGTATAGAAATGAGCAAAGCCAAGAGGGAGTCGTGGAATACTGGAGCTGATTGCAGTAAGGGATCACTGGTAGACGTGGTCAAGGTGTACGAACGCATAAATCTCCAACCTGTTGGAGGTAGTGTAGAGTGCGTCCCGACCGACACTTCATAACGAAGGACAAAATACTTTGGGCAATCAACGGCTCCGAACCGTTTAAATCCCTTGGATGGACGGTTTTTTTCTGCCATTATGCAGAATGTATCAAAAGTGCTGATACTTGTTCTATACCTGATCATAATATCTAAAAGAAAGCTAACCTACCATAGAAAATGTCTAAATCATAAGGAATATGTTTCTGGCGTCTTTCTTGGCTTAAGTGGAGCATTCAACAATGTCTCCAATAACGCAATCGTTAACAGTCTAGAAGCAGCTCGAATTGAGCCTGCCATCATAGCATGGATAAACGCTCTACTAATCTCCAGGAAGATTAACGCGGAATTAAACGAAGCCAGACTCTTTACAAGAATGTACAAAATCCCGATGTGGAAACCCTTGAAGCTCAACATGGTTGAGTTAACAATTCAGAAACATACCAATTACCTGCGAGTTATTTTGGATAGCAAACTGATGTGGAAACTCAACGTGGAAGAGAGAGTGATAATATACTATATGTATTTAAGAAGATGCTAGGGTGCACATAGGGCTTATCACCTGGACGCATGCATTGGCGTTGCACGGAGATAGTTAAGTCAATTTCGTTTTACGGTGCTTTAGTGTGGTGTACCGCTGTTAGCAAAATTTCTTACAGAAATCAGTTGGAGCGGATACAGCGTCTCGCGAAGCAGGGATTAGATGTAGCGGCTGCCAGAAAGCGGCTGCATATATACTGCGTTCTAGGCCAAAAATGATTCTGGGAAACGAAATAGCTGATGAGATTGCAAAAAATACCACCCGTCTGATATACAATGAAATTTCCGAAAGAGCTGACCGCTGGATCAGGGCGAGATGGAATGCCTTAAGTACATGCAAGATCGCCAAGATCATGTGCAAGAGCCCTGAAAGAAACGTGGCATGCTTTTTACTCAACGCGCGAAAGGACTGCCGGACGGTTGACAGGTTGACAGGTCCAACCTACTACGATCACATGCGAGTCGGATGGGTATAAGTAACGACGATACATGCAAAAATTGCAGAGAGGCAGCATGAGCGAGACGCTGGAACACCTCCTATGCTCTGTCCAGCACTTTCTAGAACTCGTTCAAGATATCTAAGAGTTTCGCAGTTCAAAGGACGAGACGAAGTATCAAACTTGGTATCTTAAGCTGCTCTTATAGTTCGCAAAAAGCGTTGACGTTCTGTATGACGAATACTTCACCTCAAATTAAACAGAACCTCCATCTGGCATTACTAAGGTCCAGTAGCTCTATGTATGGCGCGACAGCCGGACAGTATAACCTAACCTAACCTTGTAAACTGACCATAATTGAATTTAAATTACTTTCCGTTTTATTTAAATGGGATTACACTTTTTTACTACAGACTTTCAAAGACCCCAGTCGAAAGTATGAACTGCAAATGAATACCATGGGGTGCATATTTTATTACTCTAAGATGTGACTTCTTTTAATAAACTAAAATTAGTTTTTAGAAACTCATTCTTAGTGGCTCTTTGAGCTCCGACGAAGATTATTCCATTGCCCTAAGAATTTTTGAAGGAAAGCCATTCAAAGACAAACCTTAGAGTGAAAGAACTGAACATATAGGCCTTATTAGAAAAGGTTCAGGAAAATCAAGCAGAATATTTTAGCTACTGAAGTTTTACTGTTACGAAATACCGTTAACTGAAGTTATATTTCGATGTGTGTTATTTTTATTTTTTTTTTTTATTTGAATAATCAGAAAATATTTGTTACAAGATACAATATACAGTGAACCAAAAAAAAACTTGTATTCGAAGATGGTTTGACTTTGAAGCGACTCAACTTTTGAGTTGCATCCAAAAGTAAAAAATGGCCGTTTTATTAAATTTCATAAGGTAATTGAAATCTATACCTTCTGCTCAACGCAAAACGATACTTTATCCATAACTCGACAAGGACATGACATATGGCCATACTTTTTGTTGCTTAGGTTGGCAGGACTGTTATTAAGTTTACGTGTCAAATTTGAGCGCGATCTGTCACATAGTTCACTATAAATGTCACTATAAACAAGTCAACCTCGAGTGGGTTTTTCGAATTTTACTATGGAAATTAACGTTGAGCAAAAAATGTTTGTTTGAAATTTTGTTATTCCAATGGTATAAGTGCGACGGACGCAATGAAAATGTTGCAGAAGGCATATGGGGAGTCTTGCCTATCACGTGCACGTATTTTTGATTGGTATAAGTCGTTCAAGGACGGCCGTACATCGCTGGAGAACTTGCCCCATGATCGTCGTCCAGTAACGTCAATAAACGAAGAAAACGTCGAAAAAGTAAAGAAAATTGTGTTGGAAAATCGTCGTGTGACTGAAAGAGAGATAGCTAGTGAGCTCGTGTGTCTGAGACGTGTGTCTGCTCGACTTGTTCCAAAATCCAGTTCATACGTCTCGTCTTGTACGCGATTATTTGACCAAAAACAACGTAAATATTGTTCCGCAAGCACCGTATTCACCCGACATGGCACCGTGTGACTTTTTTCTTTTGTCTAAACTCAAATTGTCGCTTCGTGGAAAGCATTTTCAGTCGATTGAAGTTATAAAAGAGAATTCGAAGAAGGAACTGAAAGCCATACCTAAAGCGGCCTACCAGAAGTGTTAGGAAGATTGGAAAAAAAGGTGGCATATGTGTATCGCCTCTAATGGTGACTATTTTGAAGGGGATAAAATAAATATTGAAGAATAATTAACCGTTTTTGTTGTTTGAGCCAATCTCGTTTATATTTGAGCAGAAGGTATTTAAAAACTAAAAAATAAAATAGCTTTATTTTCTGGAACAAAAAAAAACTTGTACAGTTTGCATAAATTAACATTTTGACACTCTTGAAGGAAAATTTATAGTTTGTGTGTCTTTTATTCATAGAATGTACCAAATTTTGTTCAGGAGTGATATTTGCCTAGATTTCTTCAGGAGCCACCAAAACCTTATTTTTGCTATTAACTTTGCGTTCTCGTAAGTTCTTCTCCACATAAGCCCACAGATGTTCAATTGGATTGATGTAAGAACTCTGGGGAGAATGCGACAGCACTTTTTTCGTTGTACCGCAACCATTACTTAACCACTAAAGCAAAATACTTCGGGTCATTATACTGAATAAAGCAGTAGCCACTATTTAAGTTGAGCTCAGCTGCTAACGGGATCCAAATTATT